GCCCGGCACAAGTCGGGGCGAGGAGCTGCCGCCTGAGGCAGTCGGGGTCTGTCAAGGCCTACTGGTGGGAGGGTCTGGTCCGGCCCAGTGCTCGGAGGAGACCTGGACATCGGCGGGCATTAACAGAGTGCTCGGGTGATGTCCCCAAAGTTGAACTTTAGAAAAGGAAATAACGACAACTTTAGATATTAAAAATCCAGCAAAGTTCACTGGGTTCTGTTTGGCGGACAGACGGAGGGGACCTGTCAGCTCCACTCCCCAGCCTGCTGCCTCACTGATGCCCTGACACCGGCTTCAAGTTCGTGCTGCCTCGGGCAAACTAAAACTGCCAAATCAAACTCGAGGATGTTTTCCAAACTGTAGTACTATATTAAAAAGTTTAGCAAGAGTCTAAGTATAAAGTTGATATGCAACAAAAGAAAAATAAACCACCCAATACCAGGCTTGGATGAGTGAAGACACTGGGACTTTCTCCAATGCCCGGAGCGGGTGGGGGTGGGGGCAAGGAAATTCTCGGTGGGCTTTTCCGGCCCATTCGGGCTGATGGGCTCAGTACTGAGGAGCTGGTGTCAGGGTGGCCTGGACGTGGATGCCGTGGGGAATCGATGCAGACCCCCTCTGTGCTGTCCGGGAGGGGCAGGGGCTTCTCTTCTGGGTCCTGGACTACAACCCCAAACTGCTGCTGACCACCCCCTCTCCAGCTGCCCTGGAGGGTCTAGGAGCAGGTGTCAGTTAGAAATGCATGCTCGTTAGAATCTAAAACGCAACTCGCTGACTGACGCTGCTTCAATCGTACATTTCTACCTGGGCCTCCACCACTGGTAAATTTGGATGAAGGAGAGAATTTTTTTTTAACCTTTTGTGGTTTAAGAAAGGTTTAAGGATAAAGAGGCTAATGAATGCAAACCTATCAGGTATTTTCAATTCAGGAGAGTTCTGGAAGCAAATGGTATCAGTGGCTGAGTAAGACTGGCTAACCCTTAGGTAAGGCCCAAGAAGCAACAGACCTGAATGCTCATATGAAAATCTCAGCATAAACATACGCCTCAGTGTCTTGAAGTATTTATGACTGAAGGCCCGAGGTTTTATCAAGAGAACCAGAGTTTGGCCCTGAATCTAATGTCCACTTAAACCTAGTACAGTTTTACATCACTTTCTTTTTATTTTTTCCAGATCCATAATGATTTTTAAATCGAACACAAACACATTGGCAACTTATGGAAGAAAATAAGAAATGTTACAGTATTACACCCAGATGGTTTGCCAAGGGATGCAGAACAAATTAAAAAACAAACAGGCATGGAGAAGGGCACTGAGTAACAGAGAGCTGGAACCATGGGCAGTAAAACATGTGGACAAACAGCACACTATGAGCAGGTGTTGGCCACTTGGTACCTGTCAGCAGTCTGTATGCTGGGCTGAAGCACAGGTAAGAATTCCTGCTGCAGCAACCCCATGGGAGGGCTAGAAGGCCTTTAAGAAACAGCAAACAGCAGCATTCAAACACCCACACCGACTCACCCTGCACTGCAAAACAACACTGCACAGCAAGTGCAGGAGACCGGAAGCCGACTACAGAACGCTCGAACCTCCACCAGCACTGGCTGCGGCTGGCTTTCTGAAGAGGCCGGAGAAGCAAGCAAGCCCTCTCATTGCCCCGCTGTGGCCGCCCGGCCAGAAGTCCCAGAGCTCAGCCCGCTGGAGATTGGGTATAAAAAGCACCCGTGAGGAGAGAGGCTGGTGAAATGCAACTGAACGGCAGAAGGAAAAAGGGTTAACACTGGCGGAGACACGTGTTCAAATCCAGCCTCCTTCTCTCTACCAGTCCCAGCACAGTAAGTACCTGGTGACTTCCTGTCACTGTCTGTGGCTGCTGGGGTCCTTCCAAAGGAACTACCGGTTGGCGGAGTTTATATTGGGTACAGAGAGGTTGCTGGAATTGTGGAAAGTATTAGGAGGCCGAGGCTATTTCAAAACAAAAAGGAGACGAGGAAGAGAGGGGTGAAAGCGCCTGGGAGCCAGGGCTCTGTGGGCTTCTGTAGCCACACGGGCTCAGCGGTCAGCAGGGCCATCACCTCATACGACATTATGAATGATCCACTCTGTTCCCAACATACACCGGGCTTTGCTTTCCTTGTCATCAGCCTGTGCAGCTAACAGACTACATGGCTAAGAGCAGTGCACTGGCACTGTCCAGGTAGCGGTCGAGCGCATCCTTCTTAGGGCTGGGCAGCAGGAGCCCTCAGTGGTTGAGCTGTGCCCGCTGGTTTCCCAGATGCGACCACGAGGGCAGGCTCCACGGCCTTACCGAGCGGGGAGCTGTGTGCTGCTGACCTCTGCCGCTCAGCCGGCCAAAAGAAGGGCTGCACCGACGCCAGAAAATAGGCTTGGAACCCAAAGGGAAAAAGAAGGTAGTTATTTACCCTCCAGACTGGTGAGCAGGAGCCCTCTGTGTTACGCAGTGTGCTTCCGCTTCTACGGTGTAGGCCCAGGTAACGTGGGGTGCAGGCTTCGAAGGAGCTTTGGGACTCACAGTGAACACTGAGCATGTCCTTACAGGGCAGCTCACTAGGTAAGAATCCCCATCTTTGCCAATAACAGGGAAAGTTTCCTGAGGTTTAATGATCTCCTGTTAAGGAGGAGCTCTGGTAGGACCTGGAAGGTGGGCAGTTCAAAACCATCAGCTGCTCCTCAGGAGAAAGACAGGGCTTTCTACTCTCAAACAGTTACAGAGTTTCAGAAACTCACAGGGTAGTTCTACCCTGTCCTGTAGGGTTGCTATGAGTCAGTATTGACTTGATTGCAATAAGTTGATTGGGCAGTTAGCAGAAATGAAGGATTACGTGATCGAGGTAGAGGCGCATGGAATCATCCCTTACAAGCTTAGGCGTGTATGATGTGTTTCCCTACCTCACTCCAGGCACTCTCTATAGTGCTGCTATCTGGGGGTCCCACACCCCTTTGCTTTAAGGCCTTGCTTGTGTGTATCCATGTATCTGTTCAGGTGAAGAAAAACTGTTAGGTAAAACAAAGTTGAGTACAGTGAAGGTTGTGGTTTAAATGTGGACTCTGACAATGACCTCATGTTCCCACAACAGGTAAACGCTACCTTAGTGCAGTGAGCAACATGGGTAGGTTTAATTTCTAGAGGGAACGGTTGGGTTCTCGTGTGGCTGTCTCTGCAATGAGAGCGTAAATGGGGAGTGTCAGTGGGAATAAACTCAAAAGTTACTCTAGGTTTTATACCCAGCCACACACACAACCTAGATAAGAACTTGTAACACAACAGTGGTTACGTGGCTCCTACCTCAAGAAGACAGCTTTCATCCAAAGTCTGGTAAGCATGTTTCTGAGTCATGCGCTATCTTCTTTTTGCTTTTGTCCACAATGTTGGAGCAGTATGTGGAAGGGGAAAATGAGTGTACTTAAGCAACCTAAAGTTTAGTTTTTAATTTTTTCAAAAAAGAGAATGTTCTTTTATTTGGAATGTTTCAAATATATAATTGCATTTGCAAGATGAAGAACAAAACCCAACCTAATCTTTCCGTTTTTTCAGAATGGATTCTGTAAGACTCTTCCAGATAAACCTGTTAAACAAAGCTGGTTGCTACTGAATCGATTCCAACTCCTAGCAGCCCTACAAAGCAGGTACAGCTGCCCAACTGGTTTCCCAGGCAGTGACATTATGGGAGCAAATGGGCACATCTTTTGCCTGCAGACTGGCTGCTGGTGTGTTCGAACTGCCAACCTTTTGGTCAACAGCTGAGCACTTAACCACTGTGCTACCTGGGCGCCTCTGTTTTTGCTGGCTACGCATCGGATGCTAAGGTTACAGAAACCCAGAAAAAATATTTACTTTCCTCTCTCTCAGCATTTCCAGTATTCTACCAAGATGGAGCCAGACGTGGACTTTTACCTCCAACAACTGAAGACTCCATTCCCCCTTTAATTGAGGGACATTCTAACTCAGGGATCACTCTCTTGCAGTGATTAATATTGACCGATAGACACACTGAAAATGCAGGAAGCAAAAGGAGAAGTATGAAAATAAACTACACGTGGCGCTTACAGCAGAAAGGATACCTTATCCAAACTACAAGGCATATCAAAGGAGAGAAGCAAGATTTATGAACTATTTAAAAATCATAAATGGTCACTAACTTGGTTTTCCCATCCAGCCCAAGATGGGATTTGGGTAGCACCAGGTGGCTGTGGGCAGCGCGGCCTGAAGCAGAGCCCTCCCACCACCGTTTCTGGAAGGCAGCCAAGACCTGGCGGTCTCACTCTGTATACTATGATGGCAATGAAGAATGTTTAGGAGGCCCTCAACTCAATCGTGGAATACACATACAGCCAATGAGTCAAAACCAGCTGCTCCTAATGAATTAGCCTAATCCAATGCAATTGAGAATAACATTTCTTCATTGAAAGCACTCGGTGTTCATCGGGAATTTATACCATCGGTATCTAAGTTTGAGAAAGGAAAAGATACCGCGAATGAAGCTGCTGGCTAGTGAAAAGCTGGAAAAGGGACAGAGACATGTAGGTAAGGGCAGGCAAGTCTTTCCTCAAAAGGGTCCAAGAGTAAGGTGACCAGATTTTAACATTGGTAAAGCGGGACAAAAGCGGGACACCGCGGATAAAACTCATATCCTGATGAAATAGCCACATGGCAGCCGAAAACCATATACCCTAGCTTGTCGTGCATTCTTTCCAAAAATCGGGACTTTTCTGAAACGCCGTGGGACGCAGGAAAAATTGTTAAAAATCATCGTGACTGTCCCGCCAAAAGCGGGTTGTCTGGTCACCTTACCCAAGAGCCAAATCTACTCTCAAAAGCAGGGACCACATCCGGACTCTTCTATTAAGCTTTGGGAAGGTGTCAAATTGTAGTTCCTAGAAGCACACAGGTGAGCATTCAGCAAGAAGAACAAAAAAAGAGAGTCTGCTTACTTGATCAGCATTCCTTGATTAGGTAGTAATTCCAGATGAATTTTCCCACCTTCCTGAGTTCTTAGGTAGGCGAACTCCTCCAGCATATCAATATCTGTAGACCAGATTCAGGTTAACCACAGGTGAAAACATGGGACCCCTGTTCTCTCAGATGAGGAAAGAGGCTCAGAGCATCTGAGTAACTTGCCCACCACCAGCCAGCAGACATTTTGTGTCAGTATTTGAACTCAGGCCTGTCTGATTCCAAAGCTAGGATGCTTACACCAAATAAGGTGCTTTAAACACAATACCCGACATTAGATCTGCCAGGGTACAGGACATTAAGACAACCTGTTTCCCTCGTAGTTACAATAATTTAATAGATTGTACAGTCATGAGGAAAATCTTTTGCTTCCTTAATGAGAAATGAAATAGAGATTATTTGGGTTTGTTTATAGACTATAATTTATAAAAATAAAGTGGTTATTTCTTTATATCTAGTGTAAAAGGATGCTTAGATGCCTCAGGGACAGAGGCGGCTGTGAGCTCCTCAAATTTTATCTAAAACATAATGGACACATTCCCATACAGACTCTCAAAACCTCTGTCCTCCCAACCTCTCACACGGTGCTGGCTTGTGTATCGCTGTGATGCTGGAAGCTATGTCACCAGTATTTCAAAGGTCGCTCCAAAAGGGGAAAGAACTTTTGTTCGGGCTATTTGCTCCAGGGTAGCGGATTCCTGCAACTCAGAAATCGTACAGAAAAACGATGGATATAAATCCCCGCAGTGGTGAGTTGCCTTCAACTCCGTGGTCCTTCCCTGGTACACGGTGTGACAAAAAGCTTTGGTGAGTATCGGTGGCCCCTATGACAGCTAAGGCACGGGTGAGGCCACAGGAGGCAGCCCTCTGATAAATGAAGGCTAATGAGCCAGGTCAGTCCATGCTATCCCAGCCGCCCCGGGCCGTCAGGAACCTGGAGGCCATCACTCAGGGAACCAGGGTCCCTTCTTAGAAGTCAGAGAGACAGCAAAGGGAACGAGGTGGTTAGTATTCCCGAGTCCTTGAAGTGCTTTTTGAAGCCTTTTTAGGACTTTCACAAGCCAAGCTGCTGCAGCCTCAGCTTTGACTGTATTCCTTCCCTTAGTTCTCCATCGGGGCCGATGGGGAAGGAGTGGGTAAATACCCAAAGGGTTATTTCTACCTAAACGGCTCATTCCTTTTTGAAAATCAGGTACCACGTAGTCATTCTAAAACTGTAGACTACCTGAGAACTGAACAAGAAAAAAGGATACTTGTCACGTAGTTAAAGAAATTCTCATATTGGAAATTCCCTTGTTGGCAAATCTTATGGACAGCTTTCAAGAAGAGGTTTTCGCCCCGTGGCCACTCGTGCTGAAGCAAGACGATCACGTGTCCCAGTGCCAGGTCATCCCTGTTGTCCATGAAAGCTCTGAGCTGCAAGACACACAAAGACAAGGAAACCACGAGGGAACGGTAAATAAAGCAAGCACCACTTCCTAAGGGGGCGGGCGGCAAAGCTGCTGGATGGAACGGTGTGCTAACAGTCATCAGAGCAGGGAGAGAAGCACATGGGAAACCAGCGCTTCCGCATCACAACTGCTGTGGAAGGGATGGAGCCCGTGAAGGGAAAGAGGCTGCCGGTGGGGCCGTTAGCTGGGAACGCTGATGGAAGTTGGAAATGCCTGGGTGGGCCTGCAGCTGCTGACTGTTACAGTAGGGTTAAGGAAACGAGCAGGTCCTGCATAAACAGAAGTAGTTGGCGAGTTCTTCTAAGGGGCCCATGGGGCCGGGTGAACAAAAGGCCAGGGAGGGGAAAAGGGTCTGAGCAGGACACGGGCTGAGGGAGAAAGGAAGGCACGGAGCAACCAGACAGGAAGAGTTTGGACAAGCAGCCAAAGGGCTTTATGCTTTCAATGAGCAGGTAAGTCTAAAACCGTATTTTCAATGGTTTCCACCGTCTGGAGATGGTGACGAGGAGTTCCGCTTGAGAACCGCAGCATTCAAGCGCAGGCCCCATAGGTTGCTCTGTTGTTCACAAACTGCCGAGGTACGGTTTGGTGCCCCTGCTGTAAGGCTCCCTTTTGGTAGCCAGGGAGCTTGATGCTCTTTCAACGTGTCTTACAACTTTCTCAACCCTGGTGGGCCTTGGCTGGTGTGGATCATAATGCTGAAGAGGCTGACCATCGCCCTAAGAGCCTGGTAGCGTCGGTACTCCCTTCTTGTGGTGGCTAAGCAGTCCCTGCAAATGCGCTCCGCTTTTAAGTGTGTCTCGGTCGAATTGTAAGCAGGTTGAAACAGGTGCACATGGTTCTCTTTAGCCTTTAGTGTAGAGCAAGCACTGGTGGAACAGTGGTTAAAGCGCTCAGCTGATAACGAAAAGCTTGAGAGACCCTAGGGGGCAGTTCTCCTCTGCCTGCTGGGTCTCTATGCGCTGGACACGAAATGAACGACAGTGGGTTTGGGTTTAGTTCAGGAAAAGGCTTGAGATCTTCAAGGATTTAAAACCTGCATGTGCAGTCAGGGTGACTGTGATGAAGAATGTGTTGTGCACCTGTGGCTGGTTCTGGTGGCACTGTGGTTAAGCGGGGTGGCTGCTAACAAGGTGCGTGGTTCGCTGCTCCACAGGAGAACGAGGCGGCCATCTGCTCCGAGAAACGCTAAGTGGCAGTTGGGAGTCTGTCCTGTTGAGTCCTCGGGGTTGGAATCTGCGTCATTTCAAAATGAGCGCAAGTGCGTTGCTGCTGTTAGGCGCCGTCCAGTTGGCTCCAGCTCAGCGCCCGCTTACAGCAGAACCACACCGGCCTGCTGCGGGACAGGCTTCACAGGGACTGCTCTGAGCCCGCTGTGACCGTCACCACCCATCCGTCTTCCCCAGGTTCCTCCTGTCTCTGTTGCCCCCATTTTACCAAGCAGGATGTCCTCCCCCCGGGCCTGCTCCCTCCTGATAACATGTTGAAAGTGTGTGAGACAAAGTCTAGCCATTCTCGCTTCTAAAGAGCATTCTGGCTGTACTTTTTCCAAGACAGATTTGTTTGTGCTGCTGTAACCCATGGTTACACTCAATATTCTTCCCCCACAGCAAACACTGTAATTCAAAGGCATCAATTCTTCATCAGCCGCTCTATTTACTATCCAGCTTCCACATGCCAATGAGGTAACTAAACCCCCCGTGGCCTGCCTCAAGTGCACCTACTCTTTCAGGCGACGCCTTTGCTTTTTAACACTCGACAGAGGTTTTTGGCAGTGCATTTTCCCAACGCAGTATGCCACTTGATTCCCCGACTGCTGTTTGCACAGGCCCGGGCTGTGAATACAAGTGACACGGAGACCCTTGCCTACGCCAGCAGGTGCTCTGTGGAGCCTCATGCTGCTGTGGACCCTCAGGGCAGTTACAGAACGTGGGTCGTGTCGAGGCACAGTCCATACGGAAGCCGTGCTCAGCAAGCACGTCACACTTCTTCGCTCTCAGCACCCTCAGACACCAAAGGGCAACTTGTTTCTCACGGGGGGGCGGCACTAATTAATGGAATATTCACTCAGGCATACTTGCATTTTTGCCACACTATTAGCTGTAAACTTAAGGACGGGGATCGTTTCTGTTTATCTTTGCCTAGAACAGTTGTTGAATCCACCCTGAGGCAGTGGGTCTGGGCACAAGTGAGTAGTGGTCAGTTCCTAGCCAGCGTGCTTTCCCACTGTCCCAGCCTGCTGCCCTTTCAAGCGAACGAACCTTCCGCTACAGGGTTTAGTTCACAGAATCCAGGATGACCAGAATGTCATTTCAAATGTTTAAAAATTTCAGACGAATCCATGCGGATCTTACCTTAAAACATGCTAGCATTAGATGCAGGCAGTATGGCATGATGGCCTTACTGGTACAAGGCAGCAGCTTCAGATCCGAACCTAACAGAAGTCCACAAAATGGGTGTTATCAAGAAACAGCTTTGAAAAGCAGATGTTTAAGATGCTTGCCTTTTTTTTTTTAAAAAGGGACAAGCAACAGACACATGACTTCAAACATAATTAAACGGTAATTATAGGGTCACAGTGTGCTGGAATTGACTCAGTGGCAGTGGCTATGATTAGTGATAATGAAATTGCTTTTTGATGGTCTGTGAATTCTATTTATCAATCTTCTACCTTAAACTTTTTTGAATGTGCTTCATTATACATTATTTAAAATATATAGGAAATGATATATAAAGCAGTGGTTCTCAACCTGTGGGTTGTGACCCCTTTGGGGGTTGAACGACCCTTTCACAGGGGTTGCCCGATTCACAACAGTAGCAAAATTACAGTGATGAAGTAGCAATGAAACTAATTTTATGGTTGAGGGCGGGGTCACTACAACATAAGGAACTGTATTAAATGCTCGCGGCATTAGGATGGTTGAGAACCACAGATATAAAGAGAATATTATAAACACCAGTGTGTTCACCCCCTTGCTTTACAAAATGTTAACATTTTGATTCAACTTTAAACATGAGTAGTCAATTCAGTTCAAGTGTGCATCTTTCTCCGACCCTATCCTTCCCGTCCCTCTCTCGAAGTAGACATGACTCCGCATCACTGGTTGGCACCCTGCATACCCGTACCACAGTAGCACAGACCCATGAACAACCTGCTTACTCTGTGCACAGTGGCATCTGTTTGTAGACCCTTGAGAGATGCTTTTTCACTCCGGTCCCCGTTTCAGATGTGTGCGGATGTGACACAGAGGGACAGGCCTTCTGGCGTGCCCATTGACGGCCATCTGCATTGACTCCCTTGACCGGTCTTTCATCTATTCATCTTTCCTTAGAACCAACTTTTGGTTTTATCAATTTCCCCTATTTTGTGTTTTATTTTATTAATTTCTGCTCATCTTCACTTCCTTCCTTCTACTGACTTGTGTTTTTCTTCCCCTCTCAACTTTCAAGGTAAAAATTTAAAATAGTGACAGCGATCCTTCCTCCTTTCTTACATAAGCATTTCAAACTATCAATTTACATAAGCTTACACTGGCCAAGAGGGAAAAGCACTGTAAGAGATACCTTTTAATTTACTAATCTGCAACTTTCCCGAGAATTGGTCAAGGCAAGAAAAAGAGTTCACAGGTAATCTTCAAAGCACTTACAAGCGTGAGAAATAAAGAGAACTTCAGAAGAAACACAAGATAGATAGTTTCTTATAATATTAGAGCTAAGAAAACACTTGACGTGGGGATGGGTTTTAAAATAAAATTCATTACACTTTGCAAAAATCCTAACAGCATTATCTTATCTGGAACTACAAAATACACTGCAACCTTGGGTCCCAGATTCATTTTTATAAAACGAAAATAAAGCTTGTCACTGTACCTCTTCTAACTTTGGGCTTCACCTTTGCTGGTCCCTCCTGTGACTTGCCTCCCTCCTGGACGGGCAGCACCATGTAGCACATCAGATCAAGGACCTCTTCACACATCATCTACAGAAAAGAGGCCGACGAGGTTCTGAACCGAGGCAGACCAGGGACAGCACGGGCTGTATTCAACAGAGAAGTGCCACAGAAACACTGGGCAGCAGCGAGCTCAGCAGCTCGTCCTCAGGTATACACAACACGAGTCGGAAAGTATGGCTTTAAAGTCGTAGAAGAAACCTCGATGAAACACAAGTATTTAAATATGGTCCTACTGTTTCTTGGCATCTTCTCCATCTTAGGTCTATGTCAGCGGTTCTCAACCTGTGGGTCGCGACCCCTTTGGGGGTCGAATGACCCTTTCATAGGGGTTGCCCGATTCATCACAGTAGCAACATTAGTTATGAAATAGCAACAAAAGTAATGTTATGGTTGGGGTCACAACACGAGGAACTGTATGAGAGGGTCATGGCATTAGGAAGGTGGAGAACACTGGTCTGTATTCTGAAGGCAGTGTTGCTGTCACTCCTGCACTTCCATGGGGGACATGTCACAGGCAGTTTGGGCGCCCCTGAGGAACCTGGTCATGTTCCTTGGAAATGTTCTTGACTTTGGGGGACAAAAACAAGTCTGAAGGAGCAAGAAGAGAGCTGGAAGAAAGATGTGGTAAGGTTGCCTAACAAAATTAAATTCCCATGGGACAGCTCTTGCTGCCCTTGAAGAATGAGTACATGCATTGTTGTGATGGGAAAAAAAGATTCCCTGGTACCATTTTCCTGATCTTTTTCTTACCAATGCAGCTTTCCATTTCTTAAAACTCCTTCGTAAGAAGTTCCTGTGACCATCTTGCATCCTTTGAGAAACTTATCAAGACGACCCGTTAGAATCCTAAAACAGTCGTCACAACCTTCTGAGTGGACCTGCCCTTGAACTTAACTGGGACAGTAGAAACCCTAGAAGGCACTGTGTGGATGGCACTTTTTTTTAAGGAGTTAGTAACTGAATCGCTAGAGGAAGAAGCCATGACTTGAAAGTTTTACGTCTGAGGGTCTAGAAATGAAAGAAACCCACACCTGGCTAGGTTGAGTCAGAGCTGAAGACAGGCAATTAGGTGTTCAGGGGTAATTAGGAGAGGCACTACCCCTGGAGATCTATCTAATCCCGGATCGTGGGCAGTGCAGAGGTACTTAACTGGAGCCCTGAACCACAATGGGTTTGCCTTGAGTCATTCAATCAGAATTTACCGCCCATCCCCTGCAATGGGCGTGGAGAGCAGGGGTGTCTGTCCTGGGAGGGGCTGAGCCGACAGGATCTCTGTAGCTCTGTGTGGGGACAGAGATAGGCTCTTCTAAATTCTCAGCACTTAGGTGAAACTTGGACTTATAAGGCTTCTCATTAATTATGTTAGTGAAAGATGAAGTGGAAAAGTCTTTCCAATTGTAAATGCATATATTGCACTGACCATTGCTTTCTGAAGGTCAACACAGAAAACATGGATCCCACTTCAAGGTTCAAGTGGAAACAACTTGGTTTATGGGTTTTAATCATAATCAACATCACATAGATGAGAAAAAGAAATCATAGTTCGTGCATGAGGTTGTGGCTTCAAATGCGTGCACGCACACACACATGAATGAGTACCCATGCATATTTAAGTTCATGAGATTACTTTCAAATGTCTATTAAGTATACAGGCTAAACCACCTGCCAGAAGCTGTGAGGGCTTGACACCTGTATCATGCTCCCACCTGTAGGAGGAGGGGCTCACAATCTCATGGTGGAAACAGACCCTGTATGACCCTGCTCTGAGGGAGCGTCCCCATTTATAAGGGGCAGGGGGGATCTGAGGTAAGCCAGGTGCAAATCCTTCCCCATTCCTTACTGCAGCATGGCCGCCTCTTCTGAAGTACAAGAACATCTGGATTCCACTCTAAAGGGATCACAGACCATAAGTTAACAAGGCCATCCTCTGACTAAACGGTGTCTTGACAAGGAAACCTGAAAAGCGCTGAAGCCTCATTTCAGAGAGACTAAGTACAGAGAGAACTGGGTAAAACCAAGCCAGCCAGGTCGTCCTCAGCTGGGAGGCTAAGTAGATGAGTAGGTGAGATTAGTGGGTTAGGTGCCCTAAGGAGACAGCTCCCCCTTCCCTTAGCCTGTACTGAATTACAAAGGCACTGCAGGAAGAGGAGCAAGCCTGGGGAGGTCACAGGGCATCTGCAGGCCACCCAGGGTACATACTCTGTATTCTCCGAGAGCAAAGTGGCAGGTGGCAAGCTGGATGAGAGCCCGCTGATGTTCCAGAGTCCCCTGTCCAGTGATCTGTGGCTGAGGAAGAGACCCCTGGAGAGCTGCTAGGTGATGCAGGCTGGCGACAGCTTTTTTATATTGACCCTGGAAAGACATGGCAGCAAGGAGGGAAGAACATGGCCAGTTAACCCGCTGCTGGGCCACCTGACTAGGTAAAGCTTGAGGGAGGATCAGACCCTCTAACTAGACGCTCAACTATGAAAACGAGACAAGTCTGTTGGTAAGAATACATTTTAGGCATGCCATTACTCTACGAAGTCTTTACTTCGAACACAACTTTTCTTCTAAGAAGCAAGCAGCAGGCTGTCCATGTCAGCAACAAAGGTTGGACACCCCAGTGAGCTCTCTCCTCGCTCTGTCAGAAGTAGCTCAAGGGCAGGCCAGCAGGGCAGAAAAACTCCCCAGAGGGGAGGAAGGAGAACAAGAAGTGTTCATCTTTTATTGAATAAGGAGAAAATCTTACAGAGGGGTGTGGCTGGGCAAACCAGAACCTGCAAAAGGCGGTCCAGCCTTGTCAATCTGGAAGCTATGTGGAGATGGCGAGTCCAGAGAGGGACCACAGCACACCCAGCCTGGTGACTTTGGCTTGCCACAACACCCACGCTGGCACCGCTCCTGAGAGACCCACCGTGTTACCTGGTAGATGATCATATCAGTGAGGAAGATTCGTAACCAAAGCCAAGTATCTGTCTTCCAGGCCAAACAAATTCTTGTAAATTCTGAGTGAGAAGTCAAAAACAAATTTACCAAAGGCATGTAACACAGAAGCAGAAAGCGGGAAAAAAAAAAAAAAAGCAAACCAGGAAGAGAACAGTACCAGAGAAAATTAGTACTACAGAAATGCACAGTAATTTTACACTCGGATCACTAAAACAACATTCTAGAATTTCAATTAGAAGGTGGAGTTAGAACACAAGACTTGTCAGTTATGCAATGTATCTATTCAAAACAATATTTGTATTAGGCACCAGTGCTGACAAGGGACCACGTGCCAGGCATTGTTTATGAATAACTGGTTAAGCATCCTGCTCAAAACAGAATTCCATAATACGTGTGAACCACGACAAACCACTCAATTAGCCACCCGTGACCTGACATTGCATGAATCAGTAACGTTTTAAGAGTACTGATTTTAGAGAAAAATAAACCACCTTACCCTTGTCGAGGCATTCGAGGGAGTAGAGAAGCTCCCAGCTCTCCCGGGCCAGTTTAAAGCTTTCGAGCACTTCAACTGAGTTAGTAAGTTCGGCTTTATTGACCACAATGTGACGGTTCCTTCCTTTTGCCGAACCGTCTTCATCGTCTGAACTCTGCTTAAAGAACATGAGCAGCACAATTACTTCAGCTCTGCAAATATAGTCATCTACAAACAAAATTCCCATTTCCTGTGGCCAATGCTGATGATTAATGCCAAGAGTTATTAGTCTGCGTATAATGCATATGTCTGAATTTAGCAAGTGAGCTTTGAAAATTAATATAAATGTTCAATCTTTTCGCTCATCAGTTAGAAAATTATTGTGGTAAAGTCTATAGATAAAGGAAGGGGTCTTCTAAGTCTGTGGGAAAGTCCCAGGACCTTTCACGGCCACTGTCCCGTGTGCGTCATGCAGTTCGCACGCAGAGCATCCATTTGCCACTGCAATGGTTGCGAAGCGCACAACTTGTTGACAGTCCGCTCTCAGAGTTGTGCAAACACCCATATTCAGTTTTTATCTTTAAAAAAACCTTACCTTTTTTCCTGATAATAAATTCCAAACATATGCTGGGTTAAGAGCAAAGGCAGGCACTTAAAATTGCACATCATACACGGAGCGATAGTTTAAGTAGCACCTGTTTTATGTTAACTTTTTGTGGTCTCTGGTATTACTCATTGTGCATCCAGATAATGGTATTCATGCAGTGGCATACATTTAAAGCCTCAGTTGTTCCTTATGCAGTAATGTCCGAGGAAAGTCTAGCCTGCCCTGTTCACTGCTTACTACCTCCTTCCAGTGCTATTCCCTCTTTTCAGCTCTGCTTCCCGCCAATGCACGGTGTCCATTCAGGAACTGCACTTGTCTGCCCCTCTCTAGCCATGTCCTCCACGTGTCATAATAATGAGCTCTACCTCTTCTGCTCTTCATGGGAAGTGACATCAAGGGGAGGGAGCCAGAGGGACTCGGTTTGCTGCTGCTAGCTGCATCGCTCTGTGCCAGCCCCGGGATCATGTGGGCAGGGCAGGTGGTGGCTGCACATGAGGAACACTGGCTGAGATTCGACCTGGATCTCCAGTGTAGGAGGTAAGAACTCTACCACTGAACCTCAATTCACCCAACCAGGCCAACACAGTCATATGAACAGAGCAAGGGAAGAAGCAAAATAGTACAAAATCAGGAAAGATGTGCCATCAGGGCTGTCCTTTCGCCAGACTCGGGTAATTTAATGTGCATGCCTGAGCAAATAATTCAAGAAGCCGGACTATTTGAAGAATTCCGCATCAGGATTGGAGGAGGGCTTATTAACAATTTGTGATACGCAGACAACACAACTTTGTTTGCTGAAGGCGAGGCCTGGAAAGCACTTGCTGATGAAGACCACGGCCTACAGCCTTCGGTAGGGATTACAGCTCAGGGTAAAGAAAACCAGAGTCCTCACACTGGGCCCACAGACCACGCCAGGACACACGGAGAAAAGCCTGACCTCTGTACAGTGCAGAAGAGCAAGCATGTCACTTTAAGACTACAGTGCACCTGACCCAAGCGTTGGAATTTTCAATAGCCTCCTGAGCATGTGGAGGTTGGATAATAAATAAGGAAGCCCCAGGAGAATGCGTGCACTTGAGTTACCGGGCTGGCACGGACTACTGAAAGCACCGGGGCTGCCAGAGTAACGAAGGTGTCTGGAAGAAGGAAAGCCAGGGTGCTCCTTGGCAGCGAGACAGCGACACTCTGTCACGTTATCAGGCCGCCAGCCTTGGTCAAGTCGAAGGTCAGTGACAAACGGTAAGGCCCTCTCTGAAAGAGACTGACACAGTGGCTGAAGCAATGGGCTCACAGGGAACAACAGTCGTGAGGATGGTGCAGTGTGCCCCTGTCTTGGAGGTAGCGTTGCTGAATCAGGACGGAGGCACCTCACAACCAGAGGGAAGCTACAAAGACAGGGCTCCCGATGAAGAACCTCAGTGTCAATGCCAGTGCGTACAGTAGACACGTTGCCAGAAAGCAAATAAAGGTGAAACGGCTCTAGCTACTTTCATTTTGTTGAGAATGTCTCATTATATTAATTTAATGACAAAATTATAATCTCCATAAATATTTTTACTCATTTCAAAATATGTTTCCACTAAAAGCTCTTCTTTCCAAGCTAATCTCAGATAAGATGAGGAGGCCCTGGAGGGAATAAATCATTGTAAATGGGTTCTTTCAGATAAAGTAGACACGTTTTTTTAGGACACATTTCCCACCTTTCCCGCTGCTTTCCGAGTTTTGAATCTTCCTGGTACCCCATGATCCTTGTAGGCTCAGTCTTGCTTAGCTCCCATATTCCTAGCCTCCCTCAACAACGGAACAGAACTTCTGCTCAACTAAACCCATCTCTTAGGTGTCCTGGCTCACTAGGATTCTATTACTTACCAAGTGTTGGCACACAGATATGATATAGTAACGTGAACGGTCTGTCCCCTGCCTTGAAATGAGATCTAGAGTTTAGGGAGAGTCCCCAGAAGTGGTGGGACTAGAATGGAGTGCCAGGCAGTTTCTAAAGTACAGTAAATATGAAGTGTTTTCAAAATGCACCAGTGCAGCTTGAAGCTCTGGGCTGAAGTAAGAGTCTTAACTGAGAGGAACATATAGGTGGGAGGATAGGGGACCCACAGTACAGGAACACTACTGAGTGCCAGCCACGAAGCACATTGTATACGGCTGTACAGTGGGCTGGGTGGAGGGCGTATGTCCACCTAAGGTGAACAGCCACCACCCACTTTCCGTTGTGGCCCATCTGCAGGATCCAGTATTATCAGCCATTCTAATGATTAGGAAGTCAGCAATTATAATGAGAAATCTCCCAGTGCTACAGTGTGAGGTTCAAATACAGTGTGAGTGAAACAAAGCACTTCTGTGAGCTGGGGCCTCTGCTGTGGCAGGAAGACTAGGCCTGGGAGCTGGCCTCGGGTGGAGGTACACAGTGGGATGGACTGGGAACAAGGATGGCGTATACAGCAATGACCAAAAACAGGGAGAAACACAGAGACAACATGGAAACCGCAAAGTGGTTAGTGGGTCAGCGTATGAGAATAGAGCCCACGAGATGAGCACACGACAGATCAGAATTAGAAAAGCAGACGAGCTATGCCATCAAGTTCTGGGTGTCTTGGTAGTGTAGTGCACTCGGTTGTGTTGGGTTGCCAACACAGGGTTGGTTGACAGTTCAAGCTTACCAGCCACTCGGCAGTTAGCCCCACCTCGGAACACGAGGAAGGGAGGCAAGGGCAGATGGGGTAACCAGGAGAGAGCAGATTAGTAGAGTTCTTAGCCTGGAGTTCATGGTTAGGTATTAGAGCATCTATCAGTGCTGGGGATGATCTGCACAATTTTGCATATATGCACTTCCTTGGGTTAAGACCCACTCATAGCCACCCTATAGGGCAGAGTAGAATTGCTCCATAGTTTTGCAAGGATGAAAATCTTTATGGAAGCACATTGCCACAGCTTTTTCTTGTGTAACGGGTGTGTTTGAACCTTTTGGTTAACAGCAAAGTGCTTTAAACACTGTGCCACCAGCTCTCCTTTTCCTGGATTAGGAAGCATTGATTTACACTATTCACCAACAGGGTTCATAACAACCTTGGAAATAGTCAGAATTGCTGTGCATTCCCAGTTCTAATTCATCCTATACTATAGTGGCCTCAATTTCATCTGATGAAGGCATGTTTCTAATTGCTACCCCAGGCCAGTACCATGACTCCCAGGCTGAAGAGGAGGAGAGGAAACAGAATGAGTGAGGCTCCTGGCATGGCCACGGCACGTCAATGAGAGCCGACACTGGCATGCCTGTGGGCCTCACCTACTTCTCTTTTTATAAAGATTTACTGCAACATGGCCACATCACTTGCTGTGAACTGTTTTTGGCCTTTTTTCCTTTAATAGCACAGTGGGATATTTGCAAAGGACATTGTACGGCCAGCACAGCCACAAATACTTAGCATCTGGCCCTTGAGAAACGTTTGCTTACTCCCAAACTAGAGCACCTATACTTTCATGACACACTGGGTCTTCACTAAAGATTTTACTGAAAGAAAGGGTTCCTCTGCTTAAAAGACACAAGTCTGCACATCACTGTCTTTCACAGGCTTGCTGCCTGGTCACGAGATGGTTACAGGGCTTGACGTTATTTAGTCTGTTGCATCTATCTATCTCCCAGTTTCAACTGACAAAGCCATGTGCATCCTCCAATCCTGGTGTCGTATGCTGCACCTTCCCAGGGGCTGTACTGACTTCCTACCCTGGGCACCGCGGCACTTTCCATTTCGCGTCCGTATCCACCACCGTGTTTGCTTAGAGATCCCAGTGCATTTTTTTTTAAACTTGCATTGGGAGTTTCAAATGTAATTGAGGCTTTTCAGTAAAAATGCTGGGAGGCTTGGTGGCATGGTGGTTAAGCACTGGGTTTGTAACTGTCAGATTAGCAGTTCAAAACGACTAGCTGCTCCACAAAAACAGATGGGGCTTTCTACTCCCATTAAGAATTAGTTTCAGGAACTCCCAGGGGCACCAGGAGTTGACATCAGCTCAAGAGCTGAGTCTGAGTCCGTCAGACAGGCCTACTAGCTTAGCCCAGGATTTCTAAACCTTGGCACCACTGCCCCTTCGGCCGAGAGCCGTTCTGCGTGGCTCTGCGGGGCTTTTAGCAGCACCGCCGCTGGCCTCCCCTTCCCAGCCTGGCTGTGACGGTCCAACCAACAGGCCCTCAGAATGCCAAATGTCCCCTAAGGGGGTATTACCGTCAGATGAGAACAACAGTTACACAACCGAACCTCATCATTTTACCTCCAAAGATTCACCGTCTTTGAATAATTACGTCTGAAAGGATTACCATGGTTTTCTCTCTTCCTTCGGCTAGTTTCCTCTTTTTATGTATGTGCTTATTGCGATCAACTTCTACATCACCGTATGCATTCGAGACGTCCTCAAGGAGAATCAGTGGAATTTGGCTTGAGGCATTCGGACCTGGAGAAGGGGTAGGGGGAACGACACACCAACTGATTTCAAATGGAGCAAGAAAGACAATATAGTTTACTAAACTGCCACTTAAAAAGGAGTCATCAAAAATAGTTTCCTGGTCCTGTTTCTCTGCGCCTCATCTTCCAGTCGCTGGCAGTAAGTGTGCCTCCCAGACTCCAGCGCTGCGTTCGCAGCATCTCCAAGCCGCCGTGTGGGAAGAGTATTTGAAAGAAAATGCCAGTTATTCGCACACTAAGCCAGGCCGTGGGCCGGATGCTGCCGAGACCAGCCTGTGGCTGCTGGACATCTGCGGTGCCCCTCAGGTTCCCCCGGGCTCCTCCCCTCGGCAAATCCCAGCCGACGCCAACTTCCACTCTATCACTTTCTCGGAGACAGACCATCTGCGAGTCTTAATCACAGGGGGTCTTGGCCAACTTGGAGTGGGGCTTGTGAACCTTTTGAGGAAGCGATTTGGAAAGGACAATGTGATCTTATCTGATATAAGGAAGCCCCCCAACCACATCTTCCACAGTGGTCCGTTCATTTATTCCGATATCCTGAACTACAAGAACCTGCGCGAGCTAGTGGTGAACAACCGTATCACCTGGTTGTTTCATTATAGCGCTTTGCTCGGTGCCGTTGGAGAAGTGAACGTGTGTCTCTGGTGAGAGCCGTGAGCATAAGTGGACTGCATAACGTGCTGGATATTGCAACCGAGCACGGCCGGCGCTCGTTTGTGCCTAGTACCATTGGAGCCTTCGGACCGACTTCTCCCCGGGACCCGACTCCTGATTTCTGTATCCAGAGACCCAGGACCATCTATGGTGTGTCCAAGGTTCACGCGGAACTCTTGGGAGACTACTATTATTATCGATATGGGTTAGATTTCCGATGCCTGAGTTATCCCGGAATCATTTCAGCAGACTCCCAACCTGGAGGAGGAACAACTGATTACGCGGTCCAGATTTTCCACAGCGCTGCAAAGAATGGCAAGTTTGAGTGCAACCTGAAACTAGCACAAAGCGCCCAATGATGTACACTGACGACTGTCTGAGGGCCACCCTGGAGGTCATGGAGGCCCAGCAAAGTCTCTCTCCATGCATGAGGGCTTACAACATCAATGCCATGAGCTTTACCCCAAAGGAGCTGGCCCGGGAGGTTCTGAAGCACGTGCCCGAGTTCCAGATCACATACAACGTGGATTCTGTCCGGCAGGCCATAGCGGATAGATGGCCCATGAACTTTGATGACAGCAATGCTCGGAAGGACTGGGGATGAAAACATGATTTTGATCTTCCAGAGTTGGTGACGACTGTGTTGAACTTACATGGCTCTGGCACTCGAGTTGCCCAAGCTAACTGACAGTGTTTCAAGGAAGAAGGCCCGTGTCCTGGACAGCTGTCCAGGGAAAATTTTAAAGCCAGTTATGTTGTAGATGCCAAGGAACTAAAGTTAAATGATTGGACTAAACTTGAGCGGTTCATATTGAACTGCTAAGTAGAGAACGAGGTTGTTGGTAACCACTTAAAAAAAAAAAAAAGCTTTTAAGTTTGGTGGCAAGACTTTGAAATCTTTAAAAAATTTCCCCAAACACTAGTAACCAAATTCCATTTCTTTCATTAAGATTTAAGTTACCATTTGGGGGAAGGTGAAAGTATGTGATGTTTGTGTTTAATTAAATGTAATTCAATGAGGAAAAAAAATCGTTTCCTTTGATCTCAATAAGGTAAATAACCGAGCCACACGCGCTTCATGAAAAACACTGGAAGGACACACATCGACTTTCATTGCTGGCTTACAAAGCTATTTCTTCCTTTGGATTTGTTCTTAAATGTCTGAAAATATTTTAGAACGATGATGAATCATGAAATTACCCAAAGGGAAAAAAGACAGTAAAACTGTATGTACAAGTATATTATGGCTGCAAATCTAAAAAATCCAAATATATGAAAGGCTAAAAGGCAATTTACTAAAATGTGAACTGTTACACTAAAAGGATTTTGACTATTTTCACCCTTTTAAATTTTCAAGCTTTCTAGAGCATGTATATACCTATACTTTTTTTTTGGCTTATTGTGGTATCTTTGTGAAATCTCCTTTAACATTTTGCTATGTTTGTTACTTTCAGCAAACCAGGGGTATTTAATATCTGCATCTCATTTCACACACTTTTGACAGGTCACTAGATTAGGAACACAGAGGGGCTGTCTTCCCCAATGCCGGCCCGAGCAGGAATCAGCAGGCAGGCCACATAAAGGGGCTGGAAAGAAATCAGGCACACTCATTAGAGACCTAGGGGAAAACCCAGAACAGCCAGTTCAGACCCTAGCCAACCTGGGCACACCCACCTTAGGCATCAGCAGTATTACATACAGGTGTGCCTGAACTTAGCCACTAAAATAGCATGCTTCGACTAAGGCCACTAAGGTGCAGGTGACGCTAAGTTTGGGTCCACACACACAACGCTAAGCACATGACATCACACAGCTGTGCTTAAACTCAGCCAATAAGATGGGTCAACAACCCCAACCATGCCCCCTTCAGTAATGCTGGAGGGGGATAAGAGCAGGCCTCGGACCCCTCTCTCTCTTGTTCAGGTGTGGCCTACAAACCCACTCGCGGCCCTTTCCCCTCTCTTGGAATTTCCTGCTCTTGGGTCTGTGTGCAGTTTCTGTGCTCCTGTTCCGACATTGCTTCCACGCTCCCCTGAAGTGACCGTTTTCAGTCTCGAACTTTCTCACAGCCCGGCAATGCGGCCTAGAATGCTTTCCAAAAATAGGGTGTACTTTTTGAGACTGTAATACTTGAAACTTTCCTTTCTTTCAAAAAAGGCACTTGAATTTTCAAAAGTGGTTCTGCTGCATGAATTATTTCAGCATTGGGAAGCAAAAACCGAGGTATACCATCCCAGAAACCTAACACTTTGATACAAAATGTTTTTAATGCAAATGTACTTACATAGAAACTACCAACAACTAAAAAATAAAACTCTGGCACCAGTCTGTAGTTACTTGAATCCAAGAGCAATGATTAAAATAAATATGTAAATTCCCCTCATTCTCCCCACTGAGGCCACTTTTAAAATCTGGGTGCCACTAAAATTCTCAAACCAACCTTGGAAGAGAGATGGTTGTATACTGCTGACATACTGGAATGCATTCTTAAAGAAGACCAACATGGTGGAATACACCACTTGGTTCTTATATTTTGCGTGAGTTTCATTGTCAAAGTTGTTCATGTATCTGCAGAGATCCTTCATTCTGTGCAGAATATCACCATAGCTTCTGAAAGATGAAGAACAGCACAGCTTATTCAATGGCTCTAGGCATGCCACCAAAAGGCCTAAACACCGCTACCAGCGGGAGCATCCCTTTAGCAAACAGAGCTCTCAGCATGTCAAATGCTTTATTGTCTCATACCAGCTGCCAGTGAGTGGGTTCAACTCATCGAGACCCCAAGTGTTCAGAGTGGAACTGTGACACACGGGGACTTCAAGCGATGACCTTTTAGAAGTCACTCACCAGGCCCTGGCGTGTCTTAGAACCACCAACCTTCTGGATCCATTATCCAAGTGTACCACATAGTGCTTCCTCCTGTCTGCAAATGGATGGCAAATTTCCCCGTCTGAATTAGGAACCCTGATGGAGTAGTGGTTACCTGTTGGGCTGCTAGCCACAAGGTGAGCAGTTTGAAACCACCAGCGGCTCCTCAGGAAGAAGACAGGGCTTTCTACTCCCGTAGAGTGAGTCTCAGACACTCACAGAGGCGCTTCGTTCTGCCCCGGAGGGTCCCCATGAGTCAGCATCAACTCAGTGGCAGTGAGTGTGGTTTTTGAATTAAGGCAATCATGATACACTGTTATAATCATGATCATAGAGTTCATACCCCAGTTAGGAATCTTACAGTAAAGTGAAAAATCACTTCAATGTCCTTTGTGTAAATAGCAAGCAGAGTCTGCCCAGGGACATATGCCTATTCATGATATGTTTTTTAAAAGTGCTATTTCCCCCCCACAAACAAGGATTCTGAGATTATGCAATCAAAAAATTTGATAGGCAGTGTTAGAAAAGAATAGTTTCTTTACCGTCTTCCTTTATCCATCTGCCATTCACATCTCATCCCAACAACATTCAAAACCTTAAAGAGCCTCTCCCAGGGGTCCGCAATCTGGGAGGATTTTCCCGTGAGGCCTTCTATGGCACACTTCTGAGAGCTCCGTTTGCTAGGGGACATTAAATCCGATGTGTCTTGGGTACCTGTGATTTGAGAGAGAAAAAAAGCAGCCCACCATCAACATTAGTCTTTTCTCTTTGTGCGGTACTTAAGTGTTGAGTTGATTTCAGAAAAATCTCATTCCTGAGCTGCAGTAACACTGTCCAGGTACCGTATTTTAGAACACTACATAACTGGCATGCATCCAGAGGAGGATGATCACCACGATGAGGAATTTCCAAATGTTCAATTTTAATGTATGTCTAACGGAAGTTTCAGAATATCCACACTTACCTTGATGCTGACTTTCTAATTGAGTAGACCTGGTGACGTAATTGATATAGAATTCCGCTGCTTTATTCAAGTACTTATACAATAAGTTGGCAGGTAATCGGACATCATGGTTATTAATTATTAGAGGAAGTACATCACACACTGAAATGGGAAAAAAATTACAAATGATTAGGCTGTCTGCCTACCCTAAAGTACCACCAAAACAAGATTTATTTTAGAGTTCATTCAATGTACTATCAAAAAATATCTATTGGGGGAAAAAACCCATAAATTGATGGCACGGATTTAAAAACTGCTGGGCAGAAGGGCCCGTGAAAGGAGTCGAGGAGGGGGTGCACTAATCGATTCACCTCCTAACTAACACAAATAGGCTCTAGTGCTTGAACTGGGTGGTAGGGCACAAGTTTCTTATTATGTGTCACAATTCCATATTTGGTTACACACATATTTTCAGAGTTATCAAGTATATCACATAATTTTAGAAGTTGTTTAAAATGCACTTTGGCTAGTAAAAAACCCTTCAGCACTATGAAGAGATCCTTTACTTTCTGTAAATACAAGTTTTCTTACCAAATAATTTTCTAAAGCAGTTAACAGGAGATTCTTGCTCTTCAATAGTTTCAGCCTCTAATAAGGCTTCCCCAAGGCCAACCTATTTCAAAATGAGATTAACCCATTAAATATGTGTGGAAGTTTAAGCTGCCAGAATTACTGGTACTTTTATAGTAATCACACAGTTGCATATTCAAATTCCCCCCCAAAACTCAACATCCTCATTTAAAAAACTGTAATGGAAAAAAGCAGGCATCATCAACACAGCACGGAAGGGACTTCCACATTTACCTGAATAGTTGCCCACACAGTCTCCTCCAAACCAGCAAACTTACACTTCTAGAACCATCTATAGCGACTTAAGGTTAATAAGGTGACCAGATGTCCCGCTTTTGGCGGGGACAGTTCTGATTTTTAACAATTTTTTCCAGCATTCCGCGGTGTTTTAAAAAATCCCGATTTTTGGAAAGAATGCACGACAAGCTAGGGTATACGGTTTTCAGCTGCCATGTGGCTATTTCGCCAGGATATGAGTTTTATCAACGGTGTCCCACTTTACCAATGTTAAAATCTGGTCACCTTAGGTCAGCAGTCCAGTTAACCACCATGCCACCAGGGTTTTAGCAGAGGATATTTCTGCATATACATTGGTATTTGCTGTAAGTATACCCAAGGATATTATAGAGCACACAGAGGGACAAAATTCGGAAAATGTCTTAGCCATAAACAAGCGCCTTGCGGGAATGATGCACTGGGCTTAGTGACCCAGGAAAACATCCTGGAAACATCCAGGCCAACTGATGTAACATAATGCTCAAGGCCAATAATGTTCTATCTGCTACTTTTGTTGAATAGCAATTGGGGCTTAAAAGCCTGCCAATGGCCATCGAGGGTGCAACTATGGGTCTCTTATGTTTGGGAGCAAAGAAGAGGGAAGAACGTCAAAAGACTCAAGGGAACAACTAGTCCAAAGGTCTTGTGGACCACGTGAACCCCAGCCTTCCCACCCAGACACCAGAAGAGCTAGATGATCGGACTCATCAGGATTATGTTAGAACGTGACAGACTGATAGGGGAAAATTTAAAAAGTGGAATACATATCCAAAACAAACAAAAAAAGACCAAACTTAATGATTGGACGATTCTTCATATGATCAAATGATTGAACTATTGAATTGTATGACATGTGGATTAGGTGCCAATAAAATATAAAAAATAAAAAAGCAGAATTACTGGCCCTATAGAGACTAAAGGAACTCCTGAGAACTTGGCCCTTGGATACCCTTCACACCTGGAACTAAATTCACGCCAGGGGTCAACTTTCAGCTAAACAACAAACCCAAACGCACTGCCATCGCGTGGACTGTGACACACAGTAACCCCACAGCAGAGAGCAGAACGGCCCACAGGGTTTCCAATGCTGTGAGCCTTTACAGCTGCACAGGGCCGAACCTTTATCCCACGGAGAGGCTAGGGGGCCCAAACTGCTCACCTTTTGGTTAACAGCTGAGTGCTTTAACCAAAGTGAATAAGATCACCAGTGTGCAATGAACCATGCCAGACCAAAGGAGCAGCATCTGCTCAAAACAATGCTCAGCAGGCAGGAAGGAGCGACAAACGGAAACACCACATACAGAGAGGACGGAAACACCACATACAGAGAGGACGTGGAAAGAGTACTGTTACACTGAGGGGATTACAACAAGATAAAATGTGTATAAATTAATGAATGGAAAACTTTCACTCACAAAAAAAAGAAAGAAGAAGAGAGTTAATGACAGGATCCTGACTTTTCCTCTTACTGGCTATGGGAAGCCACTGAACATACGTCACAACCAGAATCCATCTCCTCGTCGGTAAGTGGGATTATCTACCTCACGGGGCTGGGAGAGGGAGCAGGAAACACCTAGCACTTGAACAATGTCTGTCAAAGGAACGTAACATTACACATAAAAGGGTGAGAGGAACAGAGAAAAACCAAGGTCCTCAAGGAAGAAGCGCATGAAAAACATGCCTGCTGAGCTATGAACTGTGGGCACACCTAAACGAACAAGCATGATGCACTAAGTACATAATTCATATACGTGATGGAGCAAGATTTGTTTCTATCTTTACAAATTGCAAGTAAGAGCGCTGCCAATATTTCTTGATTGTTTTCTTACTACTGGTAATAATGTCTTTTTTGTAAATCAAATATTTTATTAATTTTTTTGGTGAGAGTTTACACAGCAAATTGGGTTCCCATGTAACAATTTCTCCACAATTTTTTTCAGAGACACGTAACCTTTTTCATAGCTTTTCCAGTTTTTCATGATTTCGTTCTGGGCGTTCCATTTCCAGTAGTCTAGTTTGCCTGCCCTTCTGCCTTCTTGTCTTGGCTTCTGAGTAAATCTCGGGTCTCACATGGAAGACTACTCACAGGTGATGTGCTCTAGGAGATGGTCTCAGAGAATAGTTTGGTCCAAAGTTTAAAGAGTATCTTGGGGTAATCGTCTCTGGCAGTCTTCTGGTCCAGGAAGTCTGGACTTTTGAAGAATTAGAGTTGTGGTCCACAATTCTCCCCAATTCGCATACGGTCAGGATCTATGTTTCTGATCAAGCTGGACCCCATCTAGTTCCTGTCTCTGGGCAGAGGACGACGTCATGATGTGTGTGCAGACTATTAGTCCCACGGACGGGTTTCTTCTCTGAGGGTTTGGTTTCCTTCCTTCTTTTTCACTCCGAATGCTTACAGACCAACAGCTGTATATCAATGATTGCTCCCGCGCCTTTAATACCCTGATGCTTGTCACCAAGCTATGATGCAGAACATAAACTCCATGCACTGTATTACGCCAACTAGCTGTCTCAAGAGACGATGGTCCTGAGCTTTCAGATCCCATAAAGCAATCCCTCAAGGTAACTGGTTAAGTTTAAGTATCTGTGTTTGTGGGCCCCCAGTGCTTTATTTTATATATGAATATACACGGATGCATAGCTGGCATATATATACCCACAGGCATATAACCAAAAACCAACAAAAAACCCCACACCACCACCAAGTCAATGCTGAACCATAATGACCCTATGCAGGATTTCCCAGGCTGTAAATCTATTTTTTTTAAAAAATCATTTTATTGGGGGATCGTACTACGCTTATCACCATCCATCCATCCATCCATCCATCCATCCATCCATCCATCCATCCATCCATCCAGTGTCAAGCACATTTGTACATTTGTTGCTATCATCATTCTCAAAACATTTGCTTTCAACTTTTCCCCCCTCCCTTCCCATTCCCCTCTCCCTCATGAACCCTTGATAATTTGTTATTATTTTGTCATGTCTTATACTGTGTGATGTCTCCCTTCACCCACTTGTCTGTTGTCCATCCCCCAGGGAGGAGGTTATATGTAGATCCTTGTAATTGGTTCCCCCTTTCTACCTCACCTTCCCTCCACCCTCCCAGTATCGCCACTCTCACCACTGGTCCTGAGGGGGTTCATCGGTCCTGGATTCCCTGTGTTTCCAGTTCC